GGCTGCAGGTTCTGTGGTAGAGACATTTGGGTCAGAGTCCGATTTTACAGTGAATGTTCAGATGCAAGGCACAATCAGGATGGAAGGCAAGAAGAGCAGCGAGAAAGTGCATATATTTATATAGAGCAAGGTTGTAGGCAGAGAGAGAGGCTTATAAACTTGTTGTAACATGCCAGGAGAATGTCCTTTTCTTCGTAAATTTGTTGTCTAAAAGCCGGCGTGGTAGTGAAAATACATTATACAACCCCGGTTTTTTAGTCTTTGGGTAAGTGCACTTTTGTTGTTACACGGGCTAAATGTGCCATTTTGAAGAGTGACTGAGAGAATGAGATTCATAGAAGTCGTAATAAAAGAAGTTAATTTTGTTTCTAGTTTTTCATGATACGACGGGGAATCCAACAAGTGTAGGTCTGGGCAATGGAATTCCCGAAAAATATTGGTTGGAGCTTATTTGGCCTTTGTATGATACTCTCAAAGGAGTTTACTAATATGACAAACAATTGATTGGACATTGTTTGTGTTTATAATATTACATTTGCTGCTTTCAATGATCTTTGGACTATCTAGACACACAGACAAATCTTTGATCGAAATCCCACGCCTTCCCCCCCCTTTTTTCCCTCCATTAAACTAAACTGCTCAGGAGGTTGAGACACTGAAGGCGAAACTAAAATGGAAGAGAAAAGACTGAAGACTTTGGCAAATTGTAATGAACAGTGTTCAGCTGCGAAAGCCATTGATTTTGCCCATTCATAGGGTTTCGATAATCCATAGGAGAAAGCTGACAATGAAATTAGGCCTTGGATTTGGAAGCATGCTTGATTGTGGTATAACCCTTTGTACGTTGTCTTAAATATAGTAGAATGTGATTCCAACAAAGAAGGGAGTTAGAGCATATTTTTTCTTTGAAAATTTGACACCTTCACCTCACATACCCAAAAAAGCAAAGTATAGTTAAAATACATATTTCCCATTACATAATTATCACCATTAGATAAATTTTATGACCATGGTTGTGACTTAAATTCTTGTACATTCTGCCAAAAGTATGTCTTTATTGTTGGCCGCAAAAAAGAATTGTACCCTGTATTTAGGTGGGGAAGGGATTAAAAAATATTATTTACTATTATTCTCTACCGTCCTGAACTTCGCCAGATTCTCCAAAGGGGAAGTGCCCAGACTGGCTGCCTTTGATTCTTCAGTGCACACAAAATCAATGCACACCTATTGCCTTTGATTCTCTGCAGTAGCATCACATGGTATTTTTATTAAAAATAATTAATTATAAAAATTTATTTAATTTAAAATAAAATTACATAAATTTGATTAAATGTAATAAAAATTAATTTTTTTAAAATAGTTTTAAGAGTTTTTTTAAAATATTATGTCAAAACTCTTTATACAATTTTTTGGTAAATAATATAGCTTTTTATCAATAATGAAACAAATAAAAATTTTCACTTGAGGAATAAACAAAAATTTTCATAATTAAATTAAGACATAATATCTAAATAAGTTTTTAAACTATTTAAAAAAATTCAAATAAGTCTTTATATTTTAGTTTTGAGTCAAATAAACTCTTATAATTAATAGTTAATTCAGTTAAAATGTTACTTATTATTTTAAAAACTAAATGATATGTGGTATGCTACTATTTTAAAAGCTCTTATCATTATATGCCACTTGGCATATTGATGTAAACTATGTGGTTTAATAATATAATTATATGATTTTTTTTACTCTTTACATTATCATCATATTAACTTCACAAGTTATTAAATGACAAGTGATATTTTAACTAATGACAATTAATCAATCATTAATTATGAAAGTTTTTTGATAAAAAAAATTAAAAGTACAATAACTTAATTAAAAGTTATTAAAAAAATAAAACTTATTTAAATTTTCTTTCGTAATTGAAGAGCTTTTTCAAATAATATCCTTTAAATTAATTTAATTTTCAGGAACTCTTTTTTTTAAATAATTTAATTTCAAAAAGTTAAAATAGTTTGTCAGAAAAATTAAGTTCTTAACTACTTGGTTAAAAAGTTTTTTTTTAAAGAACTTTTTTAACTTGAATTATTAAAGAGACCTGTGATCGTGTTATTATTAAAAAGTGACATTTAATTGCTCTCAATTTTCTTAAGTTAGTAAATTCATTTTCAATTTTTTTTCTTCAGATGACCTTCTATTTTCTTTTCAATTTTTTTCTTCTCTTTATTCCAGCTCCTCGCTTGAAAATTGAAAATTCATAAAATTCTGTTATATTTTCTTCCCATCATAAGGATGGAAAATGTTTTGATAATGATAGGAAATGTGTAATACTAGTCAATAATGATAGGATGCCGACAAAATTTAATGCGTGGCTAAGACAGGAGAGAAAGCGTCCACAAAAGACATAGGTAGCGTTTGGTACTTTACAATGCAATATGATTATAGGTAATGTGATTGCAGAGAAAATAATTTTACAGTGTTTGGTATACAAGTAAAATAATGATTAAAATGCAAGAAAAATAAAATTACAGCGTTTGGTTTATAAGTACTTTACGGAGAATGTAATGTTAATTTTTAAAATTACTTTTATTTATTAGAATGTAAGTTCAATAGTTAATTTTTATATAATATTATCTCTTAAATATATTTTTAATGTCATATATTTTATTTTTATTTTAATTTTTGATTCTTATATTATATATTTTATTTTAATATTTTTTATTTTAATTATAATATTATAAAATATTTTTAATAAAATAATAAAGTTAAAAAGTAAAAATATCTTTAAAAATATTACAGAGTGTAATATAATGTGATTGTATTAATTTTAAATTATAATCACATTACATTCTTCTGTAAATATATTATAATTTTATATTATAGTGATATATTATAAAATAAATATTATAATATAATATATTATAAAAAATATATTTTTACTTTTCTTGTACCAAATGTTACTATAAACATAGCAGCCTTTTTTTTTTTTTTCCTTAACATTGGTTCTCATTTCTCAACTTCTTGTTTTGTCATAGTCACGGAAAAAAAAAAACAAAACAAAAGTTTCAATTCTTTGGACTGAATCGGCCAGGGTCCACTCCAAATCCTGTGGTGCCTGTTAACCCACTCTCTCACGTCTCAACTCTCAAGTCTAAGCCGTAGTTGCAGAAACTAGTAAAAGCAGGCTAGCTACATGGCTAGTGGCTGGGCCATGTACTATTTAGTTATTTACCTACCATCATTCTGGCTTATCCTTCTCTTCAGTCTTCACATGATTAATAAGCCAACTGCCAACCATAACCGAGCCAGCCACTAGATTCAGCTGGTGGTTCTTGATAATTGGTATTTGTTCAAATCTTTCTACTTCAAATAAACATTGCAACTTTTTAATTTGTGGGTACTTCTTCTTTGCCTAATCCATGGCTTCTTCCATGCTCAATGGAGCTGAAAGCTTCACTCTCATCAGAGGGGTAACCCCTAACAAGAATGGTTTTTTGGGGTCATATTTTCAAGGGAAACACTTTTCCAGTGTGGTTTCAGTCTCTGGTGGAAGAACATCCAGGCTAGGAACAACAATGACCCCAAAGTGCAGCTTATCAGCATCAAGGCCAGCTTCACAGCCTAGATTTATTCAGCACAAAAAGGAAGCTTTTTGGTTTTATAGATTCCTCTCAATTGTTTATGACCATGTGATAAACCCTGGTCATTGGACTGAAGACATGAGAGATGATGCACTTGAGCCAGCTGATCTAAGTGACAGGAACTTGGTAGTTGTAGATGTTGGTGGTGGAACTGGTTTCACTACTTTGGGTATTGTTAAGCATGTGGATGCTAAGAATGTTACAATTCTTGACCAATCTCCACATCAGCTTGCCAAGGCTAAGCAGAAGGAGCCGCTGAAGGAGTGCAAGATAATTGAAGGTGATGCAGAAGATCTCCCCTTTCCTACTGATTACGCGGATAGATATGTGTCCGCTGGGAGGTACATTTTTCCAATCTTTTTGGTGTTGTGGGATCATTTGTTTACTTGAAATGCGATGACTAGATATTTTCTTAATAAGATGTAAAATTTTGGTTGGTTTATGGTTGGTTGGTGCTCCTTTTTATGCAGGATAGCTTAATTGGTCTTGTAATTATAGACTACTCTTATTTTCCTTTCCTCTTTGATATATTGTTGGTAATTGACATCCTACTGGTATCAAAGCAAATATGTAAGTGTAAGTGCATAAGTGCTTTTTTCTTTTTTGGCGCTTGTCCGTTTTGTCCTCCCTTGTGAGTAGTCATGAAATTCTACAAATTTCCTACTAAATGGTGTAAAAGATATTATTGTCAAATGGGGCATCTCGGATACAGTCTACACAAATAAAAGCACGTTTGATTTGCTAGTTGGTTTCCATGAATAATTCATCTTGAACTGGAGAGAGGGGAGAGTAGAGGAGATAGTAACTTGATAATGTTTCTTACCAGGATTATGCTCTTTTTTCTTTCAGCATAGAGTACTGGCCAGATCCACAACGAGGCATCAAGGAAGCATACAGGGTGTTGAAACTAGGAGGAAAAGCCTGCTTGATTGGTCCTGTGTACCCTACATTTTGGTTGTCTCGCTTCTTTGCAGATGTTTGGATGCTTTTCCCGAAGGAGGAAGAGTACATCGAGTGGTTTCAAAAGGCTGGATTTAAGGATGTCCAACTCAAAAGGATTGGCCCTAAATGGTATCGTGGAGTTCGCCGACATGGGTTGATCATGGGGTGCTCCGTGACCGGTGTTAAACCTGCATGCGGGGACTCTCCTTTGGAGGTAATCAATCATTTAGTTAATTTGTTCCCTATTTAGGTACTTTTCATATAGAAATGCAGTTATAAGCTCTGTTTATGCACCACGAGCACATGTCTGCATTTATTGTATACATCCAAAACTATGAGCCAAAGACTTGTAATCTGTAGTTGTGCTACTGTACACAGTTCCCCTAAAATTTGGTTAAACAACTATGTTAGCCTTCAGTTTAAGGACTCATAAGCTACAATTACTCATCAGAGAATGTAAAGCCTCAATTTTCTTTTCTCCCAGATGTTGAAATTCTTATCTGCCTTTGCTGAGAATAAACTCTTAGTTAACCATCAATAAATAAATAAATAAAATTTTATGATATTCATTGTCTCTATGTGTGTGTCTGTGCGTGTGCACGTTTGCATCCATGTTGGTGAAAAGCTTATAATTGTTCTTTTGATGTTTTGTTAAATATAACCTCAATATTGCAGGTTGCTTATTCTTTTTTCTACAGTGAATATTAAACTTACAAGTTCACTTGGAAAGAAAAACAGTGATAGTAACCATTTTAGCAATAGCTGAAAAGAGATTCTGACATTATATGTAGAAATAGTATTCGTTGACAAAAACCATGCTTTCTGCCATTTTGGGATTCATGTTCCTGAATAATGATAATAGCTTGTGGAAGACTTATTAATGCAGTTCTTAGATACCTAACTTTCAAAATAAATCCATGTATCTTTATGGTACTCAAAAAAATTTTAGCCGATGCTTGATTCAGGGAAAAGAAAGACTGCAGTGTTATTCTTTAGAGCTGTGGAATATGGAACTGATTTCATTGGTCAATAAGATTACCTGATCTTTTAGTCTGTTAGGTGGGAGGATACATTTTTAACTGATGCTTGATTCAGGAATGGAGAGAATGCAATGTTATTCTTTAGAGCTATAAGTATGGAACTGATTTCGGTGGTCCATAACCAACTGTACAGATTTGTGTCTACTGTATTAAACTATTTGCTTGGTTAAGTGTCGTTGATATTGGATTATAGAGGCTGTCCATTCTAGTATAGATGCATACACAACCTTGGTTTCATTTCAGGTCCACTCCATTTTCCAATTGCTGTTAACTTCATGACTGCTGCCTTTCAGATAAAACTTCATGACTGCCTTCAATATAACCACTGTCATATATTTATAATGATGTCACACTGAGTCATGGCACAAGCAAATTGAAAAATAAAACTTGCATTTTAATTAAAATAAATCTTTTCACTACCTATTTATGTTGTATTTATTTGCATCTGGCACCAACTGGTGAAATGAATTCTCTTGCAACTGACACAAAACAGTCCTCATGTGAATCTTTCTTGTATTTAATAAGTTTGCGTTTCATGTGGACATGAGCTCTATTGTGTTGTATAATCCAATTTCTTATGCATTTTGATTTATCATTCTTTTCTAATGGCTGGTGTTTTTCTTGCGCAGCTTGGCCCCAAGGCAGAGGATGTATCCAAACCGGTAAATCCATTTGTATTTCTCCTGCGCTTCATTTTGGGTGCTATGGCAGCAACATATTACGTACTGGTTCCTATCTACATGTGGGTCAAAGATCAAATTGTACCAGAAGGTCAACCAATCTAAAGAGAGATTGGAGCTGCTGTATTTCTAAGTTGCGTATATTTTCTTTGGTTATATATAAGTATGTTAGACAAGTACTAGCTACTGTGGCCGTTTTGCGTAAACTCAAATAAACCTACCTTTATCAACTAGTTTACCCTCTTCTTACTCTGCTCTCCAAGCTTGTTGTCGTGTACCACATTGGCTTTCTGTAGCAAACTAAAGGGTCATTGGCAAAAAAGCTTGTGACTCCCAATCTGGGGTTTTAATATCGTGCGTGGAGATTAGAATTTATTGGACTTTCCCTGGCCCGGAATAGTTGCTCTAATTTGTTTGCAGTGGAGTTTCTTTTGTTCTTGTGAAAAGGTGTATGAGCACGGAAAAATTACTTAACATGTCTATTATTTTAAAAGATCAATCACCCAGGAAAACACAAACATCAATTCATAATTGAGGAGGTGCTACGGTTCTAAGTATTTATAGCTGATGCTTCAAGTGTCAGATACATCCTTCTCTATCAACTTGAGATTTAGACATCCTTCCTTACTACTCATTGAAATTAAATAGATGATAAAATAAGAAAATACCACGGAAACAAAGTTTAACTATTTGATGGCCACTGACTCTGGAAAACACGATTGAAAACAATTGCAGTTCAGAAATGCAACATTAAAGTTTCAAACCTACCTAGCATATGCATCGCCAAGAATGCGTCCCTTGCTATTTCAGACAAAAGCTCTACAAGTCTATTTCCATGTTCAAAGAAAAATAACTCTAAATCGACGATAATCTAATTATATCTGAAAACTGATAACTGCATATAAAATGGCATGCCCTCCCACACTCTTCAACTGGTGTTGCAGACCGAATGCAACCAAGACAACTAGGCTTCTTAGCCTGATCAATTAGATTTAGTCTCCGTAAGACACCAATCCTCTCTGTCCAGAAGGTGAGCTTGATTTTGACATGCTAGGAGAAGATGATTTTCTGTTACGATGTCTTGGTGTTGAGATAGCTGGAGATCTAGAATGAAAGGAACCACGACTCCTTGACCTAGAGGACCTGGACCTTGATTTGTCTTTGTATGTGGAGCGTTGATCATCCATTCGTGGACCAAGACGAGATTTTAACCCCTCACTTATGGCAGGTCGTTTATCTCTAGGGCTAGGACTTCGAATAGGACTCTGGCTATGACTATGATCTCTATATCGGCCCTGATAACCAACTGGGCTGCGAGAAACACTCCTACTTCTGCGTTCATATCTGTAAATGAACAGAAAAGTATATAAATTAAACAGAAATTGTTACCCGATCAAATACAACAGATCCACTCACTAGAAAATTAAACAATCTATAGAGGAAAAACAACAATATTAATTGCGAACTTAGATTAATGATAAGAAGCAAACGGATGGTCCAACATTTCAACTTGCTTCAACCAATGGCATTGAATCAGCTCATATTTCATGAAATGGTATGGGTATGCATTTGAGTGTTTTTCCTTTTCTTTTTCTTGTTTCCATATTATTCTTTTCAATTATAGCTTTATAAGCAATTTTCAGTTTTTTTAGGGATAAACATTAAAGATAAAAATGACTAACAATTTATTTTATTTTATTTTTGGAATTCTTCAATTTGATTTTCTTTTTTTCTTTTTTGAGTTTATAAAATAATATTCATCCTTCATCTTTTACATTGTGTATCATAAAAGTCTGCTCTTAACTGTAGCATTTGTTCCCACATCACACCAACTAGCCAATTGGCATGGAAATTAATGAGATAAAGGTTACTCTGCAATGATTTTTTCCTTCTTTAGATATATATAGAAGTAGGAATGGCTCGAACATATATTGGGAAAGTTTTGATGGCAAAATCATCCATTAAACTAATTTGTCAAAATTAGATATTTTAGATTTGAAAGTATTTTTCTGTAACTAAAGCTTATATGCAAAATGTTATGAATATTATTTGCTGAAACAGGTACGCAAGGGAGGCAATGATCAATTGATGCGAAACAGATTTGAGCCCTCATGCTGAACAATTAAGAAAACAAGTACACAATGACTAGAGCATTGGCTGCTTGCAGATGGTGAATATCATCCGGAATGGATCTATGTGTAATGTAATGAAAGTAGACAAATTTTATGGCTATGCAAGACAATTTTGACAAGGTATTCATAAATACACATGACTGCGAGAGAGAGAGAAAACCTGTGGGGACTACGGCCTCTTGGTGGGCTTCTATAACGTCTGCTGGGGGATCGATCAGAATGATTTCTATAGCTTGAATATCTTCACCAAAAAGAAAACAAAATTAAGATTTAAAAAAAGGGAACAGCAGCATCCTTTTAGTCAAATTATACATTGGGATTACCTATCATGGTTTCTTCTTTGAAAATTTCTTCCACCATAACGGTAGGATCTTCGAGGCGAACTCTCAGGAGAAGGTGTACGGTATCGACGTGCAAAGGAATAGCGGTCAGTGAAGCCACGACCTTTTCTAATGCGCTTTGATGCGCCACTTGGCGATGGACTTCTTGAGGAAATATGTCCTTGGTTAGATGCAGAGGCTTTCCTCGCAGGACTACCCAGTGGACTACGTGAAGTCCTTTCTCGGTTCTGCATACCATATTTCCTGGGAGCGCTTCTAATATCATCCTTGGGAGGACTCATGCTTTGGCTGCTTCTGTGGTTGTTTGGCCCCCGCTTAAGGGTTGGACTTACACTTCTTTGAGGCATATGATAAAAGAAACATCGTCAATAAAATTACAAAGGAGATTTCAGTAAATACATGAAAGTCAAAATGATGAAAACAACCCAAAAAAATACACAAATGGAGTTAGATAAAAACAGAAACCTTGATCTGTCTGAGCCATCTAGATAGTTACGCTGATTAGCAGCCTTATTGCCATGACCATTGTTCGGAACATCCACACCTTTCGGTGACAACTCACCTTCTTCATGGGATGAGTCGTCCTCAATTACCTTCGACTCATTCTTCCTTCGTTTCCCTGCATTAGCATCTTTCCCAAAAAGTCGGCTTGGCTGATTCTTCTCCGCATCTGTAACATCACAACCTTTCGTTAGTTGAACCCACAGTTTAATATTAAGATGCCTGCATACTTTATTCACAATCCCATTCTCATATAAGCATATTTTGTGTTATATGTCACCTATAGTTACAAATAATGCCAGCAGATGAGTTGATAAATGTAACCTTACATGAGTGGTGGAAAAGAGTAAGGATTTGAGTAAAAGTGCAACATCCCATTTAAAGAAGGTTGATGTTGCTTAAAAGCTTTAAAATGCCCAACTCAAGTGCCATTAGACTCATGCATGAGAGTTCGCAGAAAGCTAGAGTAAAGAATGAGGGAATAAAAAGTAGAGGCTAAAACAAAAAAAGAATGGAATACCAAGATTCTGTGGTGATTCATTTTCAGCATCTTTGGGAATACGATTAGTACGAGTAGAAACACGACGACCACTAGCCTTTTCATCATCACTGCCACTGCTAGTGCTTGTACTCTCACTCTCAGTGTCACTTGAACTACCTGAGCTCCTGAAATAAAACCGTTATCAATAAACATAACAACGTAACAAGTAGGAGGGATTTTGGAGGATTGTCATTGAAAGCAGGTTTTAACCAGACCATTTGGATTTGCGCTTTGATCGTTTTTCTTGCCGACCTCTTTTCCTCTCTCTTCGCCCATCCTTCCTCTTATTCCCACGTTGCTGCTTATTTCTTTTTGCTGACCTCCTTCTCCTGTGCTTTCCTCCATCACTAGAGGAACTCGACTCAGATGGAGAGACATCAGTATCTGAATCTGAAGAATAGGAATCAGAATCAGACTCAGAGCTGAATGAGTCAGATGAAGAATATCTCCTCTTTCTTTTTTTCCTTCTATCCTTCTGAGACTTTTTGCCTCTTCCTCTAGCTTGCCCATCAGAACTATCTGAAGAAGGAATTTTTCCTGATTTCTTCCCTTTCCCTGAAAAAGAATAACCATGGTGAAAATAACATAATGAAAAATTGGCAACTGATCCAGCCATCACTGCATTAGTGCTTAAGACCGCACAGCAGTACCTTTTGCTTTCCCAACAGCATCCTGAATTTTACTTTCAGAGGTTTCACCAGAGTCTGATATTTTTACAGGTTTTGCAGGCTTCCCATCACCTGTTCCTACTTGCTCAATTTTCTTCAAAACATCCATTCCCTTGATTACCTTTCCAAAAACAACGTGCTTCCTGCCAAGCAGTCAACAAATGAGAAATCCATTGCTAGGCAATATAAAAAGGTTTCATCTTTCTTGGGGTTGTAACAGGTACTTAAGTAATAAGCAAAAGTCAAATACCCATCAAGATGTGGTTGGCGCTTAAATGTTATAAAGAATTGAGATCCATTTGTGTTTGGACCACTGTTCGCCATAGAGAGAACACCAGGTCCATCATGAGCCAGTTTAAAATTCTCATCTGAAAGGAAACATAAACTTTGATGATTAAATTTTTTAACTTAATCTGTCATAAGACACTAAAATACTCACATACAAAGGCCTACCTGCAAACTTCCCTCCATATATACTTTCTCCACCAGTGCCTGCAAACCAATTAAAGGTCTTTCCTTACAAGTCTGGGCATACATTTAGATGTCAAGCAAAGACTCTGCGTTCACTCAAACAAATAAAACAAAATTTCCATGCATTGGAATGTGCAAGCATACCATTTCCCTTTGAAAAGTCACCACCCTGTAGAAACATAAAACAGAAAAAAAAAATGGACAACATTAGAGCTGCCAGGTAAATACTTATACAGGTAAAATTAGTAGATACTAGCTCTGCTCCTTACTTCCAACAAAGCAAAAAGGAAGACAAAAAACAAGTTTTTCTCTAATATTAGTCACTCTGCAGTCACCCACGATAACTAACCAGTTTAATCACCAGCAACATCATCCACCAAGGTGTTGAACACAACGCTCAAATAATCAGGTTATAGCACTAAGATCTATCAATTGATAATCAGCAAAGAAATTACTAAATTCAGAGACCTCTGAAACATTTTCTAATGATTAATTCACAGGTAAGATATTTATGTCCTAACCTTACTCTTTCAGGACAAAGGTTGTTTTAAAATGCTTATATAACATTAGACCAAGCAGATACATGTTTAGCACACTGCAGAGATGAGAAATCAGCATCCCATTGGCAGAATGAAGATATTAGGACAGAAATAGTAAAATTGGAAGCCAACTAAACCTATAGCTCCTTAAAACTAGAACATTGCATCACTGGTATGACATCGCTACAAAAAGTAGGAACTTTTAAAATATACTACCAAAAAAATGAAAGAACAATCCTCATAGCAAACATTCCTCAGATTTAAAAAATGGTCTATGGAAAGGACAAGTAACATACTTGGGCCATGAATCCTTTGATTATTCGATGAAGAAATGATCCTTTATAGTGCAATGGCTTCCCAGTAGATTTGCCAATGTCCTTTTCACCTACAGTTTGACACAGTTCAGAACAATCTAAGCACAACACACTTGTTTGCAAAAAATTAAAGAATAAAAATGTGAAGTTGATTCTTCTCGTAGCAAATGAAGGCAAATAGTTTATTAGATAAGAAACTCTCAAGCAAGGCTTTATGTGATTTGCCCTAGTCAAATAAAAGATTTATGAGATTATTAAATCTTTTATCCTTGGACTACACTCCTGGAGACATTAAAGGAACCTATAACGACCTCAAACAAATGATTGATAATTGGTTCATTAAAACTGATGCAATAAAAAGACAACAATCAGTGTAAGCACAAAATTCAACTGAACTATAGCAGGCTTACCAGTTAACTGTAATTATAATGAACATTGTAAATTTTCAGGGATACCTGTACAGAGTGCCCGGAAATTCTCAGCTGTCTTAGGAACAACATCTGCAAAAAGCTGTTCATTTGGAGGAAAAACAAAAAAACCTTTATCTTTATCCTTACTGTGAAGCGTTAGTCTTGGGTGAGTTCCAAATTCCTTCCCAGAAAGAATAGAAAACAACAAACAAGTAAAAATCAATCAGTTGGCTTTTGGCTTACCTCAATGATAATTCTTTCCACTGGATCTCCATCAACTGACACATCTAAGAATACCAAAGGGTTCTTTTGCTTACTCATCTCTCCTCAAACTACAAAATGCCAAAATAGCACCTCAAAGTTAGTACATAAATAGTCTAATGCATAACAGAAAAGAGGCTCCACTTTGTGACGGGAGGCCACATCAAATCCTACTTCATTCTCATATATCAAACATTCACAAGCTTCAAGTGCAATGCTTCCCGTTGCCCATATACTTAAAACAAGCCTTAAAATTCAAAGCATTTGAAACTCCATTCACCCCTTTCGTACCAACAACAAAGCTGGTTTTCAATTAGTTAATTACTCTGTGAACAAAGGAACGCAGATTCACTCAACAAACACCCTTACAAGCTACACACGATCTATCTCCTGAAAACAAACCAATACTGCATGCCCTGCGTAAAAATCTACAACAAAAAAAAAAACGACACACACTCTCACAAAAACTGTCTAAAATACGACTAAATAACGTATGTCTTATGAATTTACTTAACGCGTTACAACAAAAGTACGGAAACTTCAAAAACCTTAAACCCTAATTTCACATCCGAATCTTTCCTTTTTGTTCTAGGAGACAAGACGCTTAATTTATCTGAAATGCTTGTAACATATGACATAGATATTCTACTATCGAGAAAACAAAAGTGGATATCATAGTAGATAGTGAACAAGCCCTAGAAGAAGAAGTTACAGAACATTGAACAAAGGCAGCGACTTGAGATTACCTGAGGAGAGCCGCAACTCGAGCTGAGTGAACTCGAAACTCAAAAAGGTGGCGATAATTACTGGTTCACGAAGAGAGCGTTCGACTTAGCTGGCTGCTTGCTTATGCCTAGCTTCTTTCCTGAGAAATTTTACCTAGCGGCTAGCGCTAGCGGCCTAGCACTTCGTTTCTTTTTTCATTTTTCATTTTTCGGTGACGTCAGTCTCGTACATATCTTAGATTTGAGTTTGGTCTTGTCTTGTCTCTTTACCGTTTGATTCTAAGCTTGCACCCAAAAATTTTAGGATCAAGGCAAGTTTGTCTCGTAATATGAAATGGAATAAAAATAAAATAATTATTTTATGAAAATATAATAAGAGATGAATAATTATTTATAAAATTTAATAAGATAATAATTATTATTATGATTTATTTTAATATTTAGTTGATTATAATAGTTTTAAAAATAATAAAAAATTAAGTGATAAATGATAAAAATATTTTTTATTATAATATATTATTATTTTATTTTAATTATATTAATTTTTATAATAATTTAATTTTAAAATATAAAATATTAATTTTTTACTTTTTTATTTTTTTTATTTTTTTTATCAATCAATCACTAAAAATGTAACGGACGTAATGAAGCTCCAATTTGATGCTCCTCATGGTTGAATATGATGGAAAAACATCAATCGACGCTTCCCGTAACTAGCTAACTCGTCACCTTTCATTGAGGGATTTCAAAAAGAGAATAAGAGAGGTAGAAGATGGGTGAAGAGAAAAAAAAAATAAAAAATAAAAAATAAAAAAATTTTATGTTATATATTATGGTAATTTTTAAGTTTATTTAAAGGGGCTTTTGTTTAAAAAAATTTTTAACCTATTCCCTTACTTTCGAAATAGCTATTATCGAGATCTCTTTTGATAATAGTTATTTAAGTTTATTCAAGAATGACTATTTAGATGAATGACCATTCCTATAAAGCAAACAAATTATTAGAGAAGGCTAGAAATAGAGTAGAATGATTATTCCATTTTCCCAACTAATGTTGTAATAGTCATTAAATTTTTTATTTTAAAATTTGTTTATTATTTTACTCAAATAAAAAATTATTATTTTGAATTTTATTTAATTTTAAAAAATAATAATTAAAATTAATAAATACAATTAATAAGATTAATGAACTTCACATAAAGATAATCTTTAATTTGAGTTCATGGGTTTTATTAATGATAATTTATAGTTTTATTATCAATTTTTAATTAAAAAATTTAAGTTACATTCTAATTTGAATAAAATAATAAAAACATAATTTTTTAAAAAAACTCTTGAACTATTTAAAAAAATTTAAATAAATTTATATTCCTTTATTTCTTTTAATTAAATTATTGTACTTTTATTTTGGACTTAACTATTGATTACTTATTATTAGTCAAAAGGTTATTTGTTATTTTATATTCATAAAATATGGGTGAAAATGTCATGAGATCATATGAATGTGTTACGTCAATATGTCATATCATCATCTATTATAACATACTAATATATTATATTAACGTCAAGTGACATATAATGATAAATAATATTTTGATTAAAACAGTTAACCAATTGTTAATTATAAGTATTTTTTTAAAATTTAATTAAATACAATTAAAAATAAGAATTTATTTAAATTTTTTTGAATAGTTCAAATTTTTCTTAAATATTATATCAATATTAAATTAATCTTCAAGTGAAAAATTAACAAATACGGGATCCTAAAATGAGTATATAACTATTAAAAACTAATAATTTTACAAAAACAAGTATTCACTAATCAAGTTAGAGTATAAACAAATTAGTTTTAAAACTTTATGGTAAACAATAGTTTTAATACAGTTTGAATCTTGAATTTCTTTTGTTTTTTTTTTTTTTGGAAATCAATCTTGAATAGTTTGTCTAAGACTCTTTTACTAATTTTAATTATATATATATGATTAATAAATTATAGCTTTATATTGTTTACCCTAAAAAATAAAGAGTACTAATCATTTGGACCGAATTGAATTGCTCTTAACTGCAACTTCAAATTTCAAAGTTAAAATTGGTCCAAGCCCGCTTACAGTCGACAGGGGTATGGGCCTGGATGGCCTTCCGTTCCATGAACCGCTATAATTTCGGTGGGAAGACTCAAGACCTATTAGGCTCTAAGCGTCTTAACTCTTTTTTCAGGTCAACATTAAATATATATATATATATTATTTGTTTAATTAACAAAATTAATGGCTCCAAGAGATTGTATAGGTATGTAATATTACTTTTATTATTATTTTTATTTATGGATATAAAAACAAAAAACCTTTGAATAATTTAATTTTTAAATTTTGTGATGAACAAAACTTTTGGTTATAATTTTATAGGAAGTCATTATATTTGAATTTGTTGGACAATTTAGTTGTTTTTTTTTTGTTATTTTTAATCAAAAGTTTTTGACATTCACTTTTGACAAAATAAAACCAAATGGTCTAAATTTAAAAATGAAGAATCTCACTATAGACAAAGAGGATCATTCAATAATAGAACGGTATAAGTATAGCCAAGTCTAGAAGGGCATTCTTGTTTGAAACGCGTAGGAAGTAAAACAAGGGCAAAAACTTGAACTTGAACCATGAAAAATAGAACAAGCTTAATTAATGGATTTAGGTTTGATCAATCCTAACGATGGTCCATGAAATTCAATTCTGCCAAATCACTTGGAAATTAGATTTTATTATATTTGATTTGCATGAATATTCTTTGCCGGATTTTATGGTCTTATAATAATAATTTGGGTTTCAATTAAAGGCTTTTTGCAAAATCTGCTTATGGGAAATCACTGCTCGATGCTTAATTAATATGAAATCGACTTGAACATTTATTCAATGTTCGCTGCCACTTCTTTTGTCAAATGGCTATTGTTTTCATCATCATTGGTAAAGGAAAAAGAAATTAGTAAGGTTTATTCTAACAAGGGGATTTGCAGACATCCGAATCACATGCTAGAAAAAAATGTTCAAACTATAATCTCTTTGACCAGAATTAGTTGGATCAAACACTGTTCCTTTTGTCTCACTTAAGGACTTTAGTCAAAATAATACGTAGTAATTAAAATAAAGTCATGGTCTGGCTGACTCCAAGATATAGGAGAATGCCCGGTCCAGGCCAAAGAGTTTCATTGAAAATCTAAACCCCCATTTTTGGGCGTTGATTCAAGGCCTCCTTAGTTATCTAGAGAGTTTCTGGCTTTGAATGGAATTTAGACTCAAGCGTGTTTGACTATCTCCTATCACTCAGGCTCATTGATTTCTTACCAACCCCCTTTTTATATGCCATCTTGTAGAGAAGGGCAGCAGCAACATACACTAGCTTTCTTCCCTTCTTCCCATTTCATTCATCCTTCAACAACCAAGAGTTTCATTGGTTTTGCTAGAGAGTAAAAGCCTGGAAGCGGAAATCATCATGCCAGATACATTGACAGAAGATCAAATTGCCGAGTTTCGTGAAGCCTTTTGCCTGATTGATAGAGATTCAGATGGTATATATCACTGTTTTAAGTTCCCACATAGACCTTAAGCATTAATTTTCCCCCTCTTCCTTTGAACATGCCTCTAATGTGCAGGCTTCATTACCATGGAAGAATTGGCAACAGTGATCCAAACGTTAGATGGAAACCCCACAAAAGAAGAAGTTCAAGACATGATTAGTGAGGTTGATGTTGAAGGAAACGGGAACATTGATTTTGAAGATTTCTTAAATATTATGGCAAGAAAAATGAAGGTAAATCGTTTAGAAAGACTTGTCATATTTTCTTCAGTTTATTTTGGATGCTTGCTGCTCTCATCGTTTTCTGGAAACTGATAATAATGCAAACATGAATCTCACAGGAAAACGTGGCCGATGAACTAAAAGAAGCTTTCAAAGTATTCGACAGGGATCAAGATGGATTTATATCAGCAAATGAGGTAAACATGCCTGCTATAACCTTTCTACTTGCAACATTTGGATTGAACATAATTCAAAATTAACAACATTAAATCGGTATCTGCGAATATTTGGGTTGGCAGCTATTAATATTAGTAATAGACTGCCAATCAGATCAAGCATTCAAGGCTTGGGTTCTGTTATTTGTCATCTCATGATCAATTCTCAACACAGTTTCTCTTTTATTGCTTTTACCAAATAGTTCCTCAGTTTAACTCCCTAGGATATTTGAAGTTTGAATGAGTCTAAAAAGTCTAATACTAATATTCTACTGAATATTCACATGAACTTGACAGCACACCTGATTTTAGCTCTGTTCCACATTGATTTAATAGGGCTTTTCGGGTTTTCTCCTACATATGGTAGTGCCTTTTTCACATTCCAAATGGTTTGTGATGTCAGGCACACCTTTGTCTCAGCAGATGATCTCAATGATTTGCAACAGACCTGCCACCCTGCTCATATGAGATACCTACTTTTAAGTCTTGATTTAAATATATGTGTAGATACTTTCTAAATTGGCCAGAACTGTGTTTATTTTCTTGCTCCTTTTCCCTCCCACCGAGGCATGTCTGATTACAAATTCTTCACTTAAATATGAGAAAATTAGTCTCGATCCATCCACTAACCAAATCCCATATGCAATTGGTGTGCAGTTGAGACAAGTAATGATGAATTTGGGAGAAAGACTGACAGTGGAAGAAGCAGAACAAATGATCAGAGAAGCAGACTTGGATGGCGATGGACTTGTCAGCTATGAGGAGTTTGCCAGGATGATGATGGCCTTCTGAAATGAATGGAAACCTGAAACTGACTTTGGAATTGTAAATTTGCACCTTCTTTCTTTCTTTCTTTTCTTTGTTGGACATATTTCTGTCCCTTGGTGGGCAGCTCGTACTATCGTTGTTAATTACTACTACTACTACTACGCCTAAAAGAACAGTTGTACCGCAAATAATTGTAAGCATACTTATTACAATATAATGATGAATGATAAGACAATTTTCAGGTCTACATAGATGAAGCAAAGTATGGGAAATGAAAAAGAGTGTGTTAAATTGAAAACATGTTCTGTTTTTCAATCAGTTTGAGCAAAATTTGTTTAGGAAAAGCTGATGCTGATCAATTAAAAATTTCAGCTACCAGAAATATTGTAACTATATTAATAAAAGAAAATAACAGCTTCCATTACCGTTTACCATTAGCCATGGTTTTCAATTTTTGCAGCTTACTAATCCCGGCTTGAACATAGACAAAGTTTAAAGAAGCACATCCATGTAACACCAGGCAAGTAAAAGAACAGGACATACAAATTAAAGCAAACTTTTAGTATAGGCCTGCTTTCTTTGTAAGAATAGGCCAGTTTTCACCTTAGCAAGATCAATCACAGTCCATGAGTTGTTTCCGGAATTATGCAATGTAAATCAGTCACTACAATGCAGTGTTGTTTGGTTTCAGTGAGCTTACTAACAGAAATCAAATTGAACTTGAATGATGGAACACAAAGCACATTTTGCCAGTTTAAAGAAGCTATTAGCCTAACCTTTCCTATGTGTGTGGCTAAGGCCTTACTACTATTAGGCATTTGCACAAACATGTTGTGAACTGGTTTTGCATATCTGAAGAATTTCAAGGAACAACATATATGGTTTGAGGCACCAGTATCAATGATCCAGGAGTGATGATTAACGGCATATACAATTGTGTTCATAAACTTATCAAACATAGTGTTTTATGCATTTAAACGTGCACAATGGGAATCATACTAGCTATTGTTGAATTGACCGGTAAAGCTTTTTGTTGATGAATGGTTGAAGGGGGTGGATGATCATCAAAGCTTGTTCCATGTTCATTGATGAGTGCCACGAGAATCTGCACTTGATTCTTAGTGAGTGATAGTTGAGACATGGTGTTGATAGTATCCTTATTCTGTTATGATTGTGCACTAAGAACAACGCTGTTCACCTATGAAACAGGTCTCTTTTAAGATTGTTCTGTTAGTATATGCCTTTGAGCCAATTGGATTGATCAAGAAATATATATTGTCATTTAATATATATTTAATCACATAATTATATATAATAGAGGTTTTTCTTTATGTTAGTGTAATAATAAGGAGTTATTAAGTATTAATTGGATAAAGCTCATGGAGCATAAAGGCCTTGCAAAAGAATTGTATAGTTATTACAATTATGAGTTGATTATGCATCAAAGCCATGTACCTAAAATTGTTCCTGGTCATTGTATTGTCAAGACAAGGCATTGATAATACTCAAAGATTAGTACATGTTAAGCCCTTTTACTTGAGAAGTAAGCAATCGATCTCATAGATTGAAGTATGTGGAATACTTAAGGATAACATGTAGGTGCTTGTTAAAGAACAAGCTTACTGAGCATCACCTGTTATGAGAACTCCATTTAATATTTCACTCAAGTGTTTATGGAAAATGTTCTCATGTGATAGTCGTGCAACTAATCCTTAGACTTGAGACACCATGTCGTCTTGTATGAGGCATGACATACTTTGATTTTAACCTTATGGATTTGGATGCAACTAAATGCCTAAACATAGTGTTTTTGGGTATGCCATGAAGCATGCGAAGGTGAATGAGTGGTCAAGAGAGGATTCATCACCCTAAGTGATATGAAGGGATGTATCTCACTTGTTCTCAATTCTTGATTAACTTGTATAAAGTCTTTGGCCAAAGCATGATGAATTTGAGGAAAGTTAGTTTTCTAAATTCATAAGGTTAGTCAAGAATTATGAGAACTAATATGGAATGTCATTAATAGATACCGAGCCATGCTTAATGATATATTCAGGATATTTGATGAAAGGACCGTATTGCACTGAAAGGCTTATCACTGAAAGGCTTTATCAGATTCTTTAATTGACTCTCTAATATTTTGGTGGTAATGATGTATTGCTAGTTGTCACTTATGATTTATAAATATAAATTAATTATCAAATTGATGTTTGATTAGGATTTATATTTATTGTTAACATGTTAGAAGTCTAATGGGTCATATACATTAAGGTTGCGTTTGGTATGAGGGAAGTGGGGGCACATTCCCTACAATGTGTCCAATTAAATTACATTGTAGTGTTTATTTTGTAACAGACCACTGTAATGTAAGATTGTAATGCAATCATATTACAGCCAAGGGATGTAATGTGATTGCAGTCCAAAACTAATGCAATCACATTACATTGCACTCTTCAATGTTCTTAAAAATAATTTTACCCTTCAACTTTATTACCTTATTAAAAATTTTTATTAATGTTATAATTAAAATAAAAAAATAATATAATAAAAATAAAATAAAATAAAATATAAAAAATTAACATTTATATAATATAGGTAAACAAATAAAATAAAATATATAATAAAAAATATATTAAAGAAATGAAAATAAAATATATAAGATTATAATAATAAATGAAAATAAAATATATGACATTAAAAATATATTTAAGATATGGTATTATATAAAAATTAATAATAAAAATATAAATATATTAAAAATAAAATATAAAATATTATAATAATAAATAAAAATAAAATATATGACATTAAAAATATCTTTAAGAAATGATATTATATAAAAATTAATAATAAAAAATATGAATATATTAAACTTGTATTTTAATATTAGGGGTAATTTTGAAAATTAACATTACATTCTCAGTAAAATACTTGTAAACCAAACACTGCAATATTATCTTCCCTGCAATCACATTGCCTGCTATCACATTGCTTGCTATCACATTGCTTGCAATCACATTACTTGCAATCACATTACCTGTAATCACATTGCATTGTAAAGTACCAAACGTCACCTAAGTGACATGATTGGGATTAAATAAGGATAATTAATTAAGTTAGACTTAATTGAAAGAGATCAAAATAAAATAAAAAATTAATTAAGTTCTCAAAGACTTAATTAAATTAAAACACAACTGTTGTATTTAGGGTTACAACTTAATTTGGCTACATAAATAGATTATATTAGCAAACTAAAAACTCTAAGCCTCAAACCAATTCCCAGCCATTTCATAAAATAAGGAAAAATATAGTTTTATTTGTTTGACAAAAATGAGATTCAGTAAGAATTTTTGATCATTTTGTTTTAGAAACAAAACTTATTAGCACAAGTAAAATCTTACCTTTGAAAAGATCTTATTTAATCACTGTATGGATTACTGTTAGATGTCAAACACTTGGGTAATTGAAGATTTGATAATTCCTAAAGTTGAAGAAGTAAATATTTTGGATTTAATTGGTCCTTGATTACAATATCTAAAGTAAGGTATGCAACTTTTAAACTTATGAGTGTTTATAATTAATTTGAAAGTTAAATAAAAAATACAAACATTGATCTTATAAGATTTGACTGTTTTTCTGATTAAATATTATTTTATTTTTTTATTATGTTATATTTTATTAATTATTTTCATATTTAAACATGAGGTTGAATCCCGGCATGTTCTTGCCTTTTGTGAATTTAAACTCAACAAGATATCCTAGCCTATTAAGGCTTCTCCTCTACACGGCTAGTTTCATGGTAATGACTACACACCATATCAATCTTATTCTTCCTTTTCCATAATTGGTCGTAGCACAAGGCTCAATAAAAGGCTGTGATTATAGGTGCAAATTTTAACAACATTGAAAAGTAGATTATTAAAATATTTCTTTTATGAAAGGCTAATCAATTTATTAAAAATATTTTTTAAGTAAAATACAAAAAATAATTTATATATTCTTAACTGTGGGAAATCCCATAACGTCATTTGCTTTTATGCGGATAATATCAAGATTTTTTATTTAGGCTCTTTTTCCTAATTGAAAATAATTATCAAAAATCAAATATAAAATAATTTACGATTTATTTTTTTATTTGTAAAAAGTTTTCCTTCATAAATATATATTCTTCATTTCAAACACTCAAAATTATTGAAAATATTTTTTAAAATGTTATGAATATTTTTATGAATATCTATTCATATTATGTATATCTAAATTTAGATGTATATTAGATTGTATTAAAATTAGAGTTTAATCGATCCATCTAATCACTTAATATTATCTTTATCTTGTAAATAGACCTTTCATTTCATCTAGATAAGGAGTTATTAGCTTATAAATAGACTTCTCACTTTATCTGTAAATACGTACTTGAATAAGATCTTTTTACTTCATTTAAATACTTTTTCTCTCTCTAAATACTTTCTCTTACACTTGTTATTTCAAGTTATAATTTATAATATGCTATCAATATGATTCTCTAATCCTCAAATTTTAGTATTAGTTTGTTCTCATCATCTTCAATATTCAAAAGGATTTAGATGATTGGGTTTTGGTATCTAGTTTTAGCAAATCAGGTAAGTGTTGGTATTATTTTGTTTTCATTCTTTTCCCTCAAAAGGATTTTAATAATTAGTCTTTGATTTCTTATTTTTTAAAATAAGGTAAGTAACTTGATATTTCTTTATTGTTTTCATTCTCTAAAATTAACCTTAATATGAATTTTGCTATCATATATTATATATTATATTTTATCCCTTGATTGAAAAGTGAATTTGTTGTCATATAGCTACTAATAAAAAATCATGAATCTATTCATTTTTTGAAGTGAATACAACATCATTTAACAATTATGGTTATAAACATGAAAGAGGTTATTATAATAATTTACATTAATCACTATTCTAATTATAATTCTAAGAATAACTTTACCCATCAGAAGCCACCAGGGGTGGATGTATAACTTTAATTATATCCACTAGGAGGGGGTGAATACTTTTAACTCACCAAAAGTGGATAAATACTTTTAACCCACCAAAAATGGGTGAATAGTAAAGAAATATAAGAAAAATATAAAAATGTATAAAATAAAAAATATAAAAAATTCTTTGTCATTGATGTGGTATGAAAAGTCATTAGTCATATACTTGTTATACGTCAAAATATATTGTTGAATTTTATCAAGCATCACTAAATGCTAAAATATATATATATATATATATATAATGAACTGTATCAAATATAACTAAATGCAAAAAGAAGAAAAATATCGAAACAAATTCTATTCAAGATGATTTTAGTTATGGTCAAGTTGATATAACACGTCAAGATGTTATAGATTCTCTTATTCACCTTAAAAGACGAATTAATCATCTGATTGCTAATGAAAACATTCAAGAATAAATTTTTTTAATAGTTTATTAGTATTTTAATAGGACAACTCTATTATGAAGAGACTTTTATATATTCTCATTATATTTAAATGATATATTTTTATTATGTATATTAATTCAACATTTAATGTTATTTTATGTTAACTCGTAAGTTTCATTGTACATATCTTTTTTATTCAAAAAATATTGATATTCATCATATTGTATTCAAAATTTATGATGTAAATATATATCTAGTAGACATTGCTACAACGCACATTGTAGACAAGATGTATTTTTTCCACTTGACTATGGAAGAAACTAATGTCAATACACTACATGGTAGTACAAGATTAATTAAACACTTTGAAAGAGTCAATATTTTACTATTTTAAGGAACAAAGTTTATAATAGAGGACGTATTATTTTCAAAACTCTGAATGTACATTATACTAAGACAATGAATGAACGAGACAATTAATACCTCTATATTATATTTATTTCTTCGAGTGCAAAGTACATAATAATAAAAAAAAATTACCCGTTTCATTTTTTTAGATTGTACTATACAAATATTAGAATGATTGAAATTCATGCTATGGTAAACCAAAAGTTTACTAATAATTTTAACTTTTGGCATGACTAGTTGGGCTATCTCGATTAATAATGATGCAAAAAATTATTGAAAATAAATACAGTCATCTATTGAAAAATCAGAAAATGTTCTGATCTAATGAATTCTCATGTGTTGCTTACTCTGAAAATAAATAAATTATAAGGCCATTACTAGTTAAAGTTGGGCCTGAATCCTTTACATTTTTTAAACATATTTAGAGTCATATATGTGAATTTATACATCCACCATGTGGACCATTTAAACATCTTATAGTTTTAATAGATGCATCGATTGGATAGTCACATGTGTGCTTATTATTAGCTTGCAATTTAGCATTTCCAATCATTCATTTACAAGCATATTTTCCTGATTATATAATTAAGCCTATTCGTCTTTACAATATTGGTGAATGTACATCTTAAGTCTTTAATGAATATTGTATATTAGTTAAAATAATTATTAAACAACTTGTTGCTCATACTCATACACAAAATGATCCAATAGAATTGTTTATTAAACACTTTCAACTAATTGTATGGCTATTGTTTATGAAATCTAAATTCTCAATTTTTGTTTGGAGGGCATGCTATTTTGGATGCAACAGCACTTGTAATCATCAGGTCAATGAGTTATTATAAATTCTTTCTTATATAATTAGTTAATGATCAGAAACCAAATATTTCCTATTTAAGAATTTTTAAATGTGTAGAATATGTTTCAATTGCTCTATTACAATGCACAAAGATAGATTCTTAAAGGAGATTACGAATATATATTGGAATGAATCTTCATTTATAATTAAATATATAGAACTATTGACAAGAGATTTATTTAAGGTAAGGTTTGTCGATTGTCATTTTAATGAAACAATTTTTTCAATATTAGACGAAGAAAATAAGTAGTTGGAAAAGGAAATTCTTAAAATGTATTATTATTATTTAATTTTAATTTTCACACAAATTAATGTAAACTTAAAGTTCAAAATATAATTCATTTGCAAAATATAACAAATCAGTTGCTAGACATATTTACTGACCTAAAGAGAATACCTAAATTTCATATACTAGTTGCAAAAGCTCTTATAAATTAATGTTTCTATAAGACAAGGCAAACTAAAAGTATGGGAAACCAATTGGTTCTAAAAATAAAATCTTCAAAAAAAATAAATATTTAAGATGGTTAGAAAAAAATATATATACTCTAGAAGAGACCCCTAACATAATTTCAAAAGAAATTTATGTACTTGAAATATTGAGAATGAAAAGATCTCAATAAATTAAATCATGATGGGAAAAGATGAAACTAGAGTGAAATAAACATTGACTATAGTTTTGTATTTAATGTAGTGTTCAATATTATGAAAGTAAATAAAGATTATGAACTTAAATATATTGAAAGATGTAGACATATAAATGATTGGTTAATGTGGAAAGATGCAATCAAGGTGGAATTCACTTGCATAAAATAAATATATATAAATTAAAGCAATTCGAATACATGTGGTATAATCGCTTTAGTGAATATTTGTTAAAAGAAAATTATAAAGAAGATCCTTTATGCCCTTATGTTTTATAAAAAGATTGAGGTTTATATATGTTGATAACTTGAATATTGTTGGTTGTACTCGAACATTTAGCTCATTGGTTGGTGCATTATCCTCTCTACCAAAAAAGTAGGGTTTGAATCGCCCCTCCCCCAATTATATATATAAAAAAACTTGAATATTGTTGGAACTCTTAAAGAGTTATTACAAGTCGTAAATTACTTAAAGAAAGAATTTGAAATGAAAGATCTTGGAAAGACAAATTTTTGTTTGAGTCTTCTAATTGAGTATTTGACAAATAAATTTTTTTTCCATCAATCTAATTATATAGAAAAAGTACTAAAATAAAGTTATATGGACAAAGCACATCCATTAAGTTCATCAATGCTTATAAGGTCATTAAAAGTGAAAAATACCATTTCTGACCTCGTGAGGATGATGAAGAAATTCTTTATCTTGAAATACCATATCTTATTGCAATTGGAAGAGTAATGTATCTTACTAGTAATACACAATTTGATATATCATTTTTTGTAAATGTTAACAAAATATAGTTCTTCTCCAACTCGAAGATAGTGAAATGGAATTAAATAAATACTTCAATAAATCTGAAGAACAATGGATATTGGCTTATATTATTCAATGCATTAAAATCATATTTAATTAGTTATGCAGATGCAGAATATTTATCTGATCTACACAAAGCTTGATCCTAGACAGATTACTTATTCACATATGGAGGTATGGCTATTTCAAGGTATTTTGTAAAACAAACTATTGCTGCTACTTCTTTTAATCATGGAAAAATTTTAGCAATTCATGAGGCAAGTCGTGAATGTGTTTGGTTAAGATCTGTAACTCAACATATTCGAGAAACGTATAACTTGTCAACCAAGAAGGAAATTTTAACAAAATTATACGAGGATAATACTATTTGCACACTTTGGTTACAGGAAGGATACATTAAAGATGACAGAACATATTTTACCAAAGTTCATCTTCACTTATGATTTTCAAGAAAAAAAGTGATATAAGTGTTCAACAAATCTATTTAAGTGACAATTTAGTAGATTTATTCACCAAAGTCCTTTATATTGCAACGTTTGAAAAGTTAGTACAAATGATTGAAAATCATTTTAAAGATCCTAAATAATGTAGTTATTAGGAGAGTAAAATATGTACTTTATTTTTTCTTTCTTCAAGGTTTTTCTCACTACGTTTTTTTTATAATGTTTTTAATGAGGCAGTATTTTAAAAATGTATTCTTGAAAAGAATTATGTACTCTTTTTTTTTACTTGAATTTTTTTTCATAAAGTTTTTTGTTAGTAAGGTTTGAATAAGGCATATTCTTAATACAATAGATATTTAAGGGGAAGTGTTATGAATATTTTTATAAATATCCATTTATGTTAAGTATATTTAGATTTGGATGTAAATTAGATTGGATCAATATTAGAATTTAATCCATTAATCTAATCCCTTTGTATTATCTTCATCTTATAAATTCTATCTAGGTAAGGAGTTATTAACCTATAAATAGGTCTCTTACTTCATTTGTAAATACACATTGGAATAAGATATTCTTTCTCTCTCTGAATACTTTTTCTCTCTCTAAATACGTTCTCTTATATTTTTTTTTATAATTGTTATTTTAAATTATATTTTATAACATAAAAAATATTTTTTGAAAAATATTTTCGTGCTTTCAAACAAACTCTTAGTGTCTTTCTGTCTAATTAAGTATTAACTTTTATAAACATAATATCTAAAAAACTTTTAAATTTTTTTAAAAAATTCAAATAAGTCTTAATTCTTTTATTGGATTTAATCGAGTACTTATACTTTTATTTTGAGCTACATAAATATTTATATTTTTATTTTTAGTAAAATAAGCACTTATGACTAATGATTTAGTCAAAATGGAATTTGTCATTTTATACTGCATGGTGTTTATGTCGTATATTAATATATTATAATTAATAATGATGTGATATGTTAATATATTATGATTGATGATGATGTGACATGTTAATTTAATATGATAACATGATCATATGAATATGAACTGACAAGGGTAGAAGAGTGAAAAATTACGATTTACGTTGAAGAATGATGATTTGCCAAAAGAAGAAGAAGACACGGAGATCGATTGAGAAAGAAGTATTTCTTGAAAAGTTGATGTGCTTTTAAAAAAGAGATAATCCTAATATTATCTTGTTAAAAAATACCTCAATCTTTCTCTCTTAATCGATCTCCCTTGCCTCTCTCTTTTTCTCCAAATCATCACTTTTCAATACAAATTGTAATCTTTTTCTCCTTTATCTCTCTTTGCAAAGAGTATTAAAAAAAATAAAAAACAGAAGAAATACCCTTTATAGTAATTTTAGTTAAAATTAAAATTTATATGAGTTATTTTACCAAACATTTTATGTGTAAAAAAGAGTTTATAAATTTACCCAACTACTTTATTTTAATTTTAAAAATTATTATTTTTATAAAAATTTTATAAAAATTTTTTAATTAAAAAAATTTAGATAAAAATATTTTTATTCAATTATAAGTTATAAAAATTTATTGAACTTACAAAGATTTAATTGATTATAATAAAAAATAAAAATTTATTTAAATAGTTTAGAATTATGTAAACACTAGCGGAGCAGCATGGGTCGGTAAGGGATGGACCCTTCCTTGCCCCAAAACCTGGAGGAATACTCCGCTTCCTCGACAATCATAAAATTCGACCGCCCCATCCCTTTACTCCGGGGCCCCATCCCAGCCGGCTCCTCCGACGACCATTCATCCGGTTCATACCTCCTCGCCTTCAAAGACCTTCCTTCCTGGGCCGCTGCATACAAATCCTGCCAGTCCAAAATCATATCTCAATGTGAGGAAGGCGCCAGAATCGGGTGCGCCGTCACCGCGTCCAACAAGTGTAAACCTCCCTGGTGGCAATCTCTGGTTGGCTGGAAATCAATGGACTTAAAGGAGAGAGAGCGCTGCGAAGATCGTGAAATGGAAGGGTGTTTGGTCGCGGCCAAGGAAAAGTGCGTCGGCTTCGCTAAGGAGAAATGTACTATGCCGTTTTTGGACGCGAGAATCGCGGTGGGGGAGAGGGAGGTAAGGAACAAAGTGGTCGGGAGGATGGTACTTGTGGCGTCGATGCCGGAGGAAAGTACGTGGCACGATTTGATTGGGTTGGTTAAGTTGGGAGAATGTGAGTTTACGGTGACCAATTATAGAGCGAGTCACTTTCTGAGAGCTGGTGCCCGATTGCAAACGTGAAAGTTGCAGATTTTTTGTGGAATTTTGAAGCAGTTGCAACCTTAAACTGACAATTGGTGCTGTTGCGGATAGGCAACGCTAAGCTAAGGTATGTTCAAAGTTTGAACTTTTTTCTTTTTGGTTCAAAATGTTCAATTTGAACTTTAAACTGACAATTCTATGAGCTTTTATCTGTTTTTGACTGTTGGTTTGGGATTTGGACAGATACATTTAAATTTCGAATACTTTAAACTCTGATGAAAAACCGTTATATAATGTTATTTTCTTAAATTTACGTGCGTTGTCATTGGAAATGCTTTTGCAGACTAAAGTTCCTTCTATAAATTTTTGAAGGTTCAATTTGTCGTTGTCTATGTGGTGGTTTTTGTGATTATAAGTTTGATCTAGCTTCCAGGCAGTGGGATATGTACACACTTACCTCTTGTCTCACCTGATGGATCCTTGTTGTATGGTCTTTATACTTGTATGCTCTGGTTTTAATTTCTGTTGATGCAATTACCATCAACAAATATACAGCATAGCTTTTCCCACCAGTCCATGGGGGTAGAAAAGGGAGTGAAAAAGGTTACAGCAGCATATGCTAGTAAAATTTCTCGAAAATAACAGGAAGTGCAAAAGAATGTACATTGGTGTGGAGATTAACTCAAGACTGTCCTAATAATTTCTGTAAATGGTTTGATTCTGTAATGCATAATGGTAGTTGAGGAGAATATGAATGTTGGTCAGTTATCTGGAATTCTTTACATTCATGACTCTATGGGTAATGTATTTCATAGTAAATGATATTAAGTTCATAACTGTTTCCTTTTTACCACCATCACTGTATCAGCTCTTCTTATCGGCACAGTAGCACTGTTAATACTGCATCCACCTTTGCAACCACTTTCAATGTTATTGCTGCATTGCTATTTCATACCATCAATCGCTACAACATTGATATAATTTCATTTTGCACTTAGTTAATCACATCATCTTTAAAAAAAAAAATCCTTCATCAAATATCATGGCACAACCATCTTGCATTTATATGATTTAATTTTCCCTTTTCTGTGGGATCACTTGACACTTGGACACTTGGTCATATGTTTATAAATGGTCAATGAGTTAAGCTCCAATACAGGTCGCTCTTGTTTTGCTCCCAAGTCTCATCTGTTCCCGTTCTTTCATAGGTAATCATTGGGTGGAATAAAGAAATTTTTGGGGGCAGGGAGGACACGAGGTTGGCTATCCTACAATGCACTTCATGGTAATTCCATTATTTCCTATACTATGGTACCATAATATGAAGCCAATAGTTTGATTAAGTTATGGCTTATGACACCATCTTCATTCTTTGACTTGGTGGTGTCCAAGTATTAAATGCTATAATCCCTTATATAATTTAGATTCAAAGTGAAGGTAATTCCGTATTTTGCCATTTTCTGTGTTCTCTTCCAATTTTCTGCAATACACCCCTTATCTTCCTTTTTGTAGTTTCTTCTTCTTTATTTTTTCTTCAAATAATGATTTTTTTAAAAAAATTTGCAACATCTGTATATACACGGGCAAAGAGTCACTAGATTAGTATTACTCCTACGCATATAAGCATTATTGTGATCATGGCAGTGACACATCTGTACCTTTATAGGACTCTTGGAAATTTAGTTGGAATATACTAAATAGTTTGAGAAATTGTGTTAGATTCAACAAATTTTTTACTTTGTCTATTTTCTTTGTGGCATCATATCTCTTAAGATGGAACATTCTGATATTATGTCAGAATCAGGGTAGGTTCAGATTTGCTCAACTCCGTGAAATAATTATTATAGGGTAAAATACACTAATTTCTTAACTTTTGATCATAATTACACGCGAATCTATTAATATTCAAAATCGACAGTCCAGTTTCAAAAATTATCTTTGGTTGGACGCATAAGTCCCGTTAGTCAATCGTTATGTTTCCGTTAGCACTAATATGATGCTCCGTTCCATTCCTTAAGGGAGTGCGATCTGGTGTTCTCCACGGGAGCGTGAGATCTGGGGTGTGCGTTCAGATCTCGCGTTCTCTTGGGAAGATTTGGCATTCCATGGTTCGATTCGGTTGTGAAGTGGCTGACCAGTGTAAGGAATGTCGTTGTCCGATCTGAAAAAGGGAAAAGAGGGGAGTAAAAAAAAAAGGTATTTTAGATATTTTATATTTAGATATTAATGCCTGTCATTTGGTTAGAGTGAATTGTTTATTTTGAATATTAATAGATTTACGTATAATTATGGTCAAAAATCAAAAATCAGTTTTTGGCTTTGATGGAAACATAGATCTTCCAACGTATTGACACCCCACGATACTCAGAATTCGATTTCTTAGGTTTGTTTCTCTCCTCTCCCCCACTTCTCATCCGTGGAAGTTAAAATTGAGCTCGTAATCTCTTATGGGTCTGCTTTGGGCTTTATTTAAGCCTACTGGGTTGTATTTCGGGATCCTTGATTCAGTCTGCATTGCAAATCATGTGGGCTTTACTGTAAACCAACAAATATTTTTTCGAGATGCCAAGACACACTTTAGTTTGAACGGGTTGAACGTTTATCAGGGCAGCCATATTGTGGATGGTATCTAATTTGTTTGATGAAAGGTGAAACTTGGCATGAATTTGAATTGGTCGTCTAATTAATTGGGATTTGCAATTGATCTTGCTTTGAGGAGGTCTGGGTGAGGGAGAGTTGTGGCAGAACAGTGTCGTTACTAGATACCATACTCTTTTAGCCGGCTATGCTTTCTTTTCTAGATGAAGCGGTGGCAGACTAAAGCAAAGCCAGTAGCCAGAGAATTTGTTCCCGGTTTTTGACCGCCAAGAAAAGTTGAAATATTGCAACGCCGTGGTCGCTGGCTTTGCTTTTGTTTACGGTTATTGAGACGAGAGCCCTGAGAATGCTGGCATTTCTAGATGGAGACTAGGGGGGCGTTGGCACAGTTTGTTGGGCCTTGTGATTGTCACGTCAAGTTCACTTCTTCTTGCTTTGATTGCATTTTATCTTGGGGTCAAAATATCATTATCCAATCAATTAAAGACCGGAGGCCTAAGTATATCCGTTAAACGTTATCACCCAGTTTCAAAATTGGAAACTTGTGCCAACCACCCCCAAATTTTGACTAAGTTCTTGGAATTGTAGGAGTGAATCTGAATGGTACAATTTCTCTGAATTGAATTGAGCACTTCCTTTGAGCTTGACTTGTTGGCCTGCTTAGGTATATCTGCCACAAATTTCATTTAATTAAAGGGAGAAAAAGTAGACTTTGAAAGAAAAAAAGACAGGGATGAGCTCAGGAAGTGTTGAACTCTGCAAAATGAAAACTTCAATTTGTGGAATTTGTAAAATTTTTAGAAAAATGTGAGTTTGCGATAAATAATATCAAAGTTTACTTAATTTTTTATTAATATAAGACTTTTTATAAAAAATATTAAAATAAAAATAAGTTCGAATCAAGATAAATTTTTTTTAAGTAAAAGAATCAATGTAATAAAAATATTATATAATTAGATGAATAATAATATTACAAATCTCATATTAACAAAAGACAAGACGAGATGAGTATCGAGTTTATTAATAAAAATTTTTCTTCATTTAATAATTATGTTTTAAATATTAAAAATATGAATTTATGATAAATAATATCAAAAGAGATATTAGAATGGGTGAAAGAGCCAGAGTAACAGCTTTGCAAGGTTTTTCTTCCATGAATTCCAACATTTTAAACCAAAACATTCGTGTGGTCGTTTTGTCTCTCCCGTGATTCACACAATCTAGATTATTTAGGCATGAATTAGAAAAGTATCTGACAGGCACATGAGAGGCATGTACGGTTTCCTAAAGCCAAGGTGAGATTTCCATTTGTCCTGACAATATGGGATGGGGACGGTGCCAACGTTCTCATGCCTCCTACTCATGAAACTTGCTGGACGGGTTACGACTAATAAGCTGCAAATATTTGGAAGGGTTTAAGTTTTTTCTCGTTTCTTCTAACCTTTTCCAAATTTCTCTTGTTTTTCTGCCCTGGTTTCGTAGAGACATCCATAAGGAAATAGGCGGAAAAGAGAGTGATGCTGGAAGATTCATTTGAAAAACCAATGTCTTTACATTTATCTTTTTATTTTTTTGTTTCTTTTATACAAGTAATTCTTCAAGAAATGGCTTTTTATTTTGAGCTGAATATATTTGATTAAGTGTTATTTGTTTTTTTATGACATGATATTAAAATAGAAGATAAAAATATGACAACTTACATGACTATATCATCATCACAATGTTAACATGTCACATTATATAAACAATAAAGAGTATTTTGATAATAAAAAATTAGATTAAATATGATAAAAAATTATTGTTTTTAATTTAATTGAATTAATAAAAAATATAAAGTCGCTTTTGATGGAATTGTTAAAAAAAAAGAAATTCAGTTTTTTAATGTTGTGAGGAAAGAAAACACCGCGTCAGATGCGCGGCGCAATCCGACTAGTTTAGTCGGCTGGTCCGATACATCAATGTTGTGGTTCTAATGTAGAAATGGAAAATGCAAGGAAGTTGCCAAGGATGGCGATTACTATTATTATTATTATCAACTTGGGGCGGTCATGACGGCAGAATTCTGTAGACAAGAAATTACGAGGAAACTTCGTTTGAAGTTACAATTTCAACTGCTTTAGCATCATCATTGTACTACAAAGTTGCGCAGTCTGAGTCAACTATTCTGCTTTCCACAACGTTAAAGGCCAAGCAAAGTGGAAAACGCCGAATCGAAGTTGGACGTGACTGGCTGGCGCCTTTTGTTCTAAGGATTTCCTCCTTTTGGCCAAAAAAATGTTGGATGCCAGTATTTGTTATGGGAGGCCGGAGGTAGGCCAGTAGCCACTTTGCAGCAAAACCAGATTTCAGACTAGCGGGAATACTGGGTAGTTAAGACTGCAACTTGGCATGCAATCCAACATCGTTAATTTCTTGGGTGGAAAGTGGACCCAAATACAGCTTCTTTCTTTTTGCGAAGGATCTTTGTCAGCACTTGCTTTTATGTTTTTGGACTTCAACGCCTGTGCCTCCCTCCGTGGGAACACAGCAAAAAGGAGTCGCCCAAAGCAAAAATCTGCACCAGAATCTATATTGAATTGTTTCCTTAATAGTTTCTAGTTTATTAATCTTAAATTTAATTTTTATAACTTAAGAATATTTTTAATTTTGATGCTATGACATTTTACTGCCGAGATAAATTAATATCATATTTACTTTAATTAAGTAATAATTAATATTTCTTTCAAAATCTGGAAAATAAATTGGGGTGCGATGGAAGATGAATAAAATTCCCTTTGGATACAATTGCATATCAATTTGATATTAAATCACCTCTCCAATACCATAAAGTCAATTAAAGGGTTAGGCACTTTTCAAAAGGAAAAAAAAAAATTAGAGGGTTAGGCAATGAAGTTGAAACAAACTTAGTTTTTAATTTCTCTTGCACGCATCAAATTTCACTTGTAATATATGTCATGATATGAACCTAACTTGGTTTACCTCCATTAATTATCACATCCCAATTTCTCTCTCCTAGTGCTAGGTAGATGCTACTTTTCCTGCCCCACTTCTTTTCTTTTGGGGTTGGGGGAAGAAGGCGCTGTGGAATGACTCAAAACAGTTCCTCACCCTTTGAAGAATAGGGATGGTGGCAGCAAGTCCTGAAGGTTGGTGGTGGATCAAAACGTCTGAGCATATAAATCCTTGGAATGCAGTTACTGTCTACCTTCCCACTCAGCTTGGAGTCTTGACATATATTGGTGTGGCAGGTGCGATGGGATTTTCACACGTCCCTGACTTACAACTCTCCGATCAGTTTCGAGTCTTAACATATTAATTAATGGATACATATAAAGAAATAACAAAAAGCCATAGAACCTATCAATTTATTAAAAGAAAATAAAACAAAAAAAAAAAAGGGGAGAAAAACCGTTGATTTTCTTGCTTGTGACTTAAGTTGTCTTACATGTCACGAGTGGTCATTTTTGTGGTCCAAGTTCTTTTCAGTTAGAGGTTACAAATTAAAGTAGAAGCCAATTGCGAGGTGACTGTTGATGAAGCATGCACCAAATGCAAACAAGTCATATCAGCTTTTTCTCATAAGAAATTTCAAGCAGTTTATGCCTTGTACTACCAGAACCCAAAATTGAAGGCAAACCGCCAAAGTGGCACCTGTTACCCAGTCCATGTTACTAAATTAAAAAGAAAAAGTTTCTTAATCTCCTTGTCCCGCAAGCTGCAACCGGTGTTCATGCACTTGGAAGAGTATTCACGATTTACTGAATAGTCATTTTGAGGTAACGAAGTCACAGAATTAAGTACATTGGCAGATTTTCAACAATGGTGGCCCCCTAAAACGACTCAATGCACGGAATTTACAATTACGAGGAATACTAAAATGATAGCAAAAAGTAAAATTCCAGGCATTCACAGAGAATTGCTTGAAACTTTCCGCTTGTAAAGCAATTAAACCTAGGGCCATACGCAAAGATCCAGCTATCATTAAATATACAAGTTCAATCGGTGGGTGGGGTGGCGACGGTGTTTTCCCCCACGTAAAGGCATTTTAGGAGTCAGCGTAATACCGCGTTTCCCATTAACTTGGAACAAGTTATTTTATATTTTATATAGATGTACGAAGGTGCATATCACTTTCCATTTTTCTTTTTGGTTACGGACCGACAAATAAAAGGGCCGTCAATCATCTAACTACAACTAGCAAAATCCCGTTGGCGCATTTTGCGGCCGTCTAATGGAAGCTACGAAAGGGGTACCAATTGTACGGCTTTAAATCAGTAAAGAAACTTTTCAGAACACTTTTTGTTATGCCTTTTTGATACATTCAAACCACAAATTATTACTGAAAAATCCAATAACATGTTTGGTTTAATTTTTTTAATTTAAAAGTTAATAAAAATATTTTATAAAAAAAATTTTAAAATTAAGTTAAAACTGTTTGATATATTTACTTTTTATAAACTGTTTGATAAATAATTTACATAAATTTTAATTTTGATTAAAATTATATAAAAAATATTTAATAAATAAAAAAATTAAATCAAATAAAAAATTAAGTGTGAAAAAATAATTTTTTTTGTAATATTATGAATTGTTAAAAAGTAAAAGAAGAGTATAAAAAAATATTGGTTATTGTTTTTTAAAAATTAATTTAAAATTTATGATTTTTAAAATTGAACAAAATTAATGTTACATACAAAGAAGAAAACCCAAATTGGTATTAATAATAAATTCAATTGGGCCAAAAAAATTTTAAAACTAAGTTACTATTGATTTTTTAATTTTTATCTAATTTATTTTAATAATTATTGATATATTTGACTAATTATTTCAATTATAATCAACAAATATTCTATATACGAGAAGAAAGTTAAGAAAAATAAATATTACATAATTATCATATCAAATAATAAATTAAAAAATATAAAATAATAAAAAACTTTAAAAGTAAAAAATAAAATAAAAAATAAAATAAAAAAAATAAAATAATAATTGAGTGTAGTTTTGAATTACGAGTTCTTTTTTTCTTAATTTTTATAAGAGTGAAAAAAAATCATAAAAGGATGATTTACAGAAAGAAAAAGAAAAGAGAGATCAATAAGGAGAGAGAGAATATTTTTTTAAAGAGGATTTTTTTTTAAAAAATAATTCTTTTAAACAGTAAATAATATTTTTTTAAAAAAAAACTCCTATGAAGAGCTTTTTTTAGTTCTTTTTTGTTAATTTATTCTTTTAAAAAAATTATTTTTTTAAAAAACTTCTCATAAAATACTGTTTTTTCTAACTTCTATTTTTTTTAAAAAAAAAGTTAAAAATAAATTAAGTCTGTGGGTTTGATTAGACATATATATTTATTTATGCTAGTTATGTCAGATAAATAGCATAGAAATTGAGAGGGGGTGAGCCTAGCCAGTAGGGATGTGCAACTGCAGAGGCGGGTTTGTTGACCAGGCATTCCAACACCAAATTTATATATTAGGCATTGCTTGGCTTTAGTTGAAAGAAGTTCATTCTCTGACCCGAGAGAAAGAACAATACTCATTCTCTTCCGACTCTCTAGTTTAGGTCTTCCGATAACTAGTAAAACCCTCCAAAAACCATGTCTAGTCTTGATGAGTTTAAACTCTATGATTATGGCACGTTACTCCTCGATGTCACCACCTCCAGCCTCACCAAGGCTCAAAGGCGTTGGCGTATTGCCTGTGCGGCAATATATTCCTTCCGCGTAATGCTTTCTCTTGCTAAGGATATAATATCCAAAAGAG